CTGCATTACAAATTTAAACAGAAGCAGTTCAGTAACAGCTCTTCACATTTCTCATAGTAAATAAAATTATTAAATGAGAAATTATATTAATATTTACTCGGAGGCAGAGCTAATCTTTGAAGTTAACAGTTCTGTAACTCAAGTGGTGTTAATAATGAGATACCAAATAGGATTAGGAGGTAAAAATGAATGCCTTTATTTGTCTCCAGTGTACTCCATTGGTACATAATGTAGATTACACAAATATAAATATGAACGTTGGCAATCATTAAAACTGAATTCAAGATGTTGCATTTGCTTCAAAATCTTCCTGCTCATTTCTCTGTTGCTACACTCACAATTTTCCATATTGTGAAATAGTTTTCTTCTTGTTTTTCATCCTCCCTTTTACATAACAACTGAGACTTTCCTCTGGAATATATGTTTGAATATTTAATTTCTAACAATCTTAGGCAATAGTTTGTTGTGGTGATGAAGTAACACATTTTAGTGTTTATGTGGTTGAAATGTTTTCAGAAAAGAATGGGAAGAGACTGTAAATTTTAAACAAAGCTGTAATTACCACAGCACAGTGGCAAAGTCCAAAGGGTTGCATGATTAGAGGTGAACCATAACGATCCAGCTGTTTATGTAACTTACCCAATTCAAAACATTTTCTGTCTGTCTGGGCCTTTAGGTTGCTCTACTAGTGAAACAACTGGTATTTCTTGTGCAATGTTAATCCTGGCAATTTTAATTTCTTGGCTTTCTATTTAGGGCTTAATAGCTGGATATAAGTTTAAGTGACTTCCGTGCTTTTAGGAAAACAAGGCTGTCTATCCTCTTTTACCTCTTTTTCCAAAAAAGCCAGCACCTTTAGAGGTTGTCCATGAATTTTGAAATCTCTTCCTTTCCTGTGTTTTGATTTTTCCCTTGAGTATCTTCCATTTTGAAGAGGTGCATTTGGATAGTTCTCTAGACCATGTCCCTGCCCTGGTCCCACTTTCTCTTTGCAAGGCTGGGAAAGCACTTGGGGGAAGAACTGGATGACATTTGTTCATTTCCTTCAGCTACCTGTGATGAAGAACTCTGCTGAATTTGATGTCATGCATAACGTGCTACATGCTGATTGTTTCTTCTAATGTGTTCTGCTCTGGTATGTGTACTTGGATTTAGTCTTGCAAATATTTTTCTGAAATGTGTCACTCCGATCTGCCAGCCATGCCTTCAGAGCACAGAACTCCTCCAGTTTTAATGTTTTGTGATTTAATTTTAGAAGTTTAAGAGTTCTGTCTCTTTTATCATGTGCTTAGACTGCAGGCTGAGAGATTTAGAATGGACTCAGTGATCTTTTTCCTTGGAAGAGTGTTTACCATCCTTACCCACCCTGGTGTTGGGTTTAGATTCGCCCAAGGTTTCCAGATCTGTGAGCAAATGACACTTACACAGGGTGACAGGAGAGTGTGGAAACTTGGAATTGTTCTCTCTTGGAGGGGCTATAGGAAGGGGAGAGCAGACCCTGCAGGTCAGGGGATGGTGGCAGTGTAGGGGATGTGTGTCCCTGGCAGCTGGAGCCCCTGGACACTTGCACAGTGTCTAATGTCCCCTACACGTCTCAAACCAGAGGCAGCAATATCACCACAGGGCCCTTGCTGTAAGGAGCAGGGGAGGTGGCACAGGTATGGACTAAAGCTGGTGTAGAGAAGCAGAAATTAAACATTGAAAGTTCATTTCTTTGTGAGCTCAATCCTGATGTTGATCAAATACGACTTGTTCTGCCACAGGCAAAATCCAAATGAGATGAGTGCTTCAGTTTAGTTACACAGAGGTACAAGGAGCACATGTGTGTATAGAAGCAAGAAATTTTATGTATTGAGTTTAGTCCTGATTTGAATGTTTACTTTCTGTTAGTTTTCTGAAGAAAAAATTTATTCTTACTTGTTTATTGCAGTAGGAGAATTGTTATATCCTATGAAATACATATTTTCAGGTCATAGGTTTTTTTTGTGTGCAAATATGAAAGATTGACTCTTCTTTTTAATATAAGTGTCATTAAATTAATTTGCTTTGATCTCAGTTTTCTACGTCTGTATATACAAAAATAATGTATTTCTAATTAGTTAACTATCACTTAATATTTATTTAAACTCTGGTTGGGGTAGAAAATTTTAATTAATTAAAACCCTCAAAAACAGTACTTTTAGTTAGCTTTGCCCACAGAATTTAAAGTATGAGTACGTATTAAAAAGGTTTAACAAGACATCTTTTGAACAAAATTCCCTTTGTAAGCAAGGAAAATATCCATCATTCAGTGCATCAGAAACTGTCTCTAATGTCCTTTAGGTGTGAAGCGTAACAGTCACTAACACTGGTTTTTAATTGTTATTTGGAGGAAGAAAACAACACTTCCTTATCCACTAGGAACGATCAGGTTGTTAAAATGAATTATGCAAACCAAAATAAAGATACCGTTTTTTTTCTCTAGTCCTAGAAGAGGTGATTGCTGTGAAAAGCTGCTTTTATCACCTCAATCCTGTTTTCAGGTTGTCTTCTGGTGACTAAACTCTATAGGACTTTTCAAGGCAGTTTGCCTTGAAAACAAACACAACTTGGTTTGACATGGCTTCAGTGTTGTTTTTGATTATTCTATTACTAATGCTAAGCCTAGGCCTTAGTGAGCACCTTCATAAAAGGAAATGCTTTGGAGTAACGGAGTTATTTTGAGGGTTGAATCAGGTTTCAAAATTAGGTGTATTAGATTTCGGTCTTACATGTTTATTCAAAACAGAACTTTGGAGGAAATTGGAAGCTGTGACAGAATAGACTAACACCAGTAAGTGATTTTTATGGAGACCCTTAAAGGGTTTTTTTTTTTTAGCCTGTTTTGGACCAGTGAGAAAAGTGAGAATATCAAGGTCCCTTGCAGAATTTGAGCTGTGGCTTTTCATCCACTCTCCAAAGCATTTTATTTATGTTTTAGCAAGTGTACAGCCGAGCTAACCTGGCACCTGTCTATCTCCAAGAGAGGTGGCCTCCCTTGTACTTTTCCATCTTTTGGTTGAAGTAGACAAAATGGCCAAAACAAACCAAAAATCCCTAATCCTGTGGAAAACTTGGTTGAGAAATCAAATGATGACTAGTGCTGGGGAAAACACAAAATAAGGACTGCTCATTTTGGTGGCCATCGCCTGGGCCAGTGCTGACCAGCGTTGTTGAGCTGCCCTTTCTGCAGCGCTGTGCCTGTTCTCCTTCCCTAAAGCACTGAGTGTAAACCTGATTAGTGAGTAAATCACAGTAAGTGTGTGCTGTAGTCTCAGGGGTTGAGCACTTGGAGAGACATGATCTGAATATTGCAGAGAAATAGATTAATTCACAGTTATTGCCAAGATACTTTAAGGAAGTAGCAACTTAGGTCTGTTCATTACAGGAGGGTAATTGATTATGGGATGACAGTCTGGTTAGAGGCCATATTCCCATTTATTTCCTTGAAGAGCATGTTCAGACATCAAGGATAAGGTCATAAAAGTGTTGTCATGTTTTCAACCATTCAGTTCCTGTGCCTTTAAAATAAAATCCACCTAGGTAAAACAAGAACCTGGGGGGAGCACAGGTGCTGAGCTTAATTTGAACCTGGTCAGGTTGAGGTAACCCACCATTCTGTGTACCATTAATCCAAAATTACTTTGCAGTCTGGTGAGGAAGGAGCAGAATGCTTTATTAAATATTGAAATTAGATTTATTCTGTGGAGATCTGCATGGACGTGAGCTGTGACACAACAGAAGAGTAGCACCTGCAGGCAGAAGGAATGACCTGTCACAGCACATAGCTTCATTTTGTAGCCAGGTATTGGAATAAAGGGCTTATCACAGGGAAAGTACAGGCACAGAGAAAGCCTGATGTCTGGCACCAGACACCCAAAAGGGTTTTAATCTGTGCAGAGGAGTTGCCTTCACGACAAAAAGGGAGAGGCGTGAGTCTCACTGGAAAACGTGACTGGAAAAGCTTTGTTCGCCCGCTCCCCCCTCCCAGCAAATTGCCTGAAAGAGGATCATACACAGTGGTGCATCATTCCTGTTATCTCCCACTATGACTCACTGAGCCATACATAGCAGCACTTCTTTTGAGGAGATTTCTTACTCAGAGCAAGCTGGATGTGGAAACAAAGACCTGGCGTCAGACTGTTAATGTCAATTTTGCATTAGAATTCCTTGCATGGCACATAAAAATGTCTAAAAATGGCTTGACTAGCAGTGCCTGTCTGTATTAAACAGGTATTGTCAGGTTAAAAATTCTCATTAATTTTCTCCTGATTGGATGCTGTTATTTTCATATTTATATATTTTTGGGCAACAAGAATATTTGTTAATTGCACTAGGAAATCATTGGGTATTTCAGTATTTGGATTGCTGGTAATGCAGTGTAGCAGGTGGCTTTCAGAGCATGCTTTAGGCTTTTTTATTCTGTGTTTGTTTCTCCCTGTTATTGCCCAGTCATATACCAAATTAATTCTCCATGACTTCTTTCTATTCTCAATTAGTTGTAAAGGAACTGATTGTGACATCTGAGTATGGCTTGTAATATCGATCCCTTTTAAGACCCTTCTGTCCTCCTTTAAGAAAAAATGGTTTTCTGGAATGCCAACAGCATCATCCCTCCATATTGTGCTTTAATTTAGTACCTTGTACTTCTTTTCTTGCCAAGAAAGGCCAGCCAAGGCTTTCTTCAAGGTTTCAGTGCTTGCTGCTGGACCAGCCTCTCTGCCCTTATCCCCAGCTGAACTCCAGCTTGAGGATCCCGAGCTGTTTTTCTGGTGCTGTTGCCAGCGGCACTTTTGTTCCCTGTTTGTTGCTGTAGTAGAGCACTGTGCTGTTTATTTTGCATGTTTGTTGACTCAGCCCCCAAGATTTTTAAGTATGCATTGGAAAGCCAGGAGTTCTTCCCCCTGTTTTGTGGTGTGGGTAATGTATTAATGAAGCTGTGTTAGTAAAAGAACTTTTCCTATTCCTGTGTTCTATTACAGGTTTTGGGATTTGAAGTTGATACGGTGAACTCTGTCCAGTTTTCAAACCACACAGGTAAAATTTTACAGATACTACTCCACAGTCACTGAACTCACTCAGCATGGGGCTCACCTCATCCCATGGTAGTGGAGAGGACATTTGTCTTACGTTTTCACTCACATTTTCATGATATAGGATGGAAATGTAATTTTCACGTTTTGATTCAAGTCTTACAGAAGTCTGAATATGGGAGCGGGGCATTGATATGATGGTGCTAATGTCCCCTTCTGCTCTTCAGAGTGTGAGTTTCTTTTGTTAGGGAGTAATCTAATTAAGTCAGATAGTGAAATAACACAAATACAGCCATTTACACAGCCAGGCATGCAAATAAGGGAGTCTTCAAAATGGCTTTCAGTGAATTACGGCTCTGTGAGAGTCATAGTCAAATTACCAACCCAAACATCAGAAAAATACTGAAAGTAGATGCAGTATTTCCTTGCTATGTGCCCATCCAGGTACTATCAAGTATCCAAAAATCTCATTTTGGTGGAAAGAAGGGTGTTGATACATTTGGGTGTATTTTTATTTAAGCTCTAAGCCTGAATGGAATGCACTCACCTAATACATTCAGACTTCCTAATACTCACAGTGCTATTTTTTAAAAGAAAGCTGAAATTTATGTTTAGAAGAAGCTCCAAGCGACTTGCTATTTTTGGATCACTGGAGACACACCTGCTGTCTTGGTGGTGTCAGGCTGTTTGAGGGGAGAGCTACTCTAGATAGAGAAGATCTCTAAGTGTCTTCAGAAAATAATGTGGGAGCAAACTCTGGCTTTAACATCTTGGAAAAGAGCAAAAGCTGTTTGTGACAAAGAAAAAAGAAGGCAAAAGTTGAGGTACTTCTCTAATACCTCTACAGATACACCTCTATTAATAAACTACTAACTTTTGGAACAGAGATCAGACTCTGTTGAAGTTCATGCAGCCTTCATAAGGTTGTAAGATGCCTATCATGGAGGGAATTTAGTGTCACCTTGGAAATAGAAAATTAGTGTTTCAAAGGTGGCTTGAAAACTATCTCTGCTTATTGAGGAGGGGCACAAAAAAGGTAATAATTAAACAAGGGAATGAGGCCTTTCCTAGCTTAGGCAAAGATTTGTTTATTTTGCTTGTACCCTTTGGCACAGTACAAAGGTTCTCTTATATTTTTCAAAAATGCTTAGGTGTGACTTCTGTTTACTTAAAGAATGTATTTAATTTCGCAATTTGGGATTTTCTGTTGTTTAGTTTCAGTAGTGGGATAAAACTGTTGTAATCTTCCAGAAATGAAGCAATTTTTTCGTGTCAAATTATTTGGTACTTGAAATGCCTTAGCAAGTGTGGTTTGTTGGCTTTCTGTTTCAAGATCAAATCAGCTTTATAGGGCACGAAAGACCTTAATAGAGGTTTTATTGACCATAAACTGAATGTGTCTGAAGGTGGGAAAATTGCATTATCAGTAGGGTGACCAGGTCCTTAAAAGAAAAAAGAGAGAAGATTTTAAATTTGTTTTTAATAGTTTCACAGCCAAGGAGAGAGTATCAGTGTTTCATTCAGGGTTTGGCATACAACCTCTGGAAGGAACCGTAAATTAGTGATTCCTCCTCCCACAGGAAGACCAAAATGAGCATCCCAAACCCAAAAATATCTCAAATATCACAAGTCTTTAAAATACTGGAACTACTCCCAATGTCTAGGATTCACATTTTTTCATTTTTTGACTTTTTTTCTGTGTATATATATTTTTAAATTTTTTTTTAATTTTTCACTAAATCTGTTAAAAATCCTAACGTGTGCCACACAACCTCATGGTTTTGGGAAGCAGAGCTCATGTCTGGCACTGTCCTGCAGTACACAGGCATTGTGAGTGAAGTTAACTTGATTTTCCTGTATAAACAAAATTTTACAAGAGTCATTTCTGTCATCATCATTAAAGCCGGTGGACAAACTCCTCCTTCGAAATCTATCTGTGAACTTTTAGTTTCTGAAAGAATGCCAGAGGAGCAGAGGTGGAAGAATGTGTGGAGTTTTGGATTTGGTATACTTTCTTCCCTTCTTTCCCTGTTTTTAAATTTGGAATTAGCAGCAAATAAAATGCAGAGAGAATTTATGACTAACAGACTTTGGTGAATCATTATTGCTCTTTTTTTGCCCTGTCTACAAATGAGTAAGATACCACAGGCCTCTTTCTGCTGACTCCTGCTCAGAAAATTCATCTTTCTTTAGTTTCTGATAATGCTGAAATTTGGAAAATGTGCTTTGAATCAGTGCCCCTGGGAGAATAGTTTGTCATTGCTTCGTGAGGAACTTCAGTGATTAGAGTGACTCACACTTGAGTGGCATCATGCTTCACATACAAATAAAAGAAGCTGTCATGCAGCTTATTAAGACTGTGCTCTTTGTCCTGTATTAATGTACTTTAATATATTTTTTTGCAGAAGCATCTCCTCATATGATGGGCAAAAATAAAAATCTAGATTTATTTTTAATTGTATAATTGATTTTTGTGGGGGTGCCTTTTTAATTCTTCAGTGATTTCCAGTTTTGTTCCTCATCGGTAGGTTAATTTTAAACAATAATGTGCTTACTCTGCCATCCAGATCCTACCTTTGAAACAGCTCTGGAACAAACAGCCTGGGGTTTTTTAATGTTACTTTTTCTTTTATTCTTGAGCACGTTTGACTTCCACTTAGGGGATGTGTAGTAGGTGGTTGGGTTGGCTGGTAGGTCTAACACATGAGAAATTACAGTTACGTCCTGATGTGATTCTGCACAGCCTGCCCACCCAGGTGATTCATTCACCCCTGTGTGTGCAGGGCAAAAAGAAAAGATCTCCACTTGTGCCTGACACTGGTAGCATTTTACTCCCACACTGTGGCCAGCTGTAAAAAATCCAGTGGGGAATTTGGTACTTAATTTCTGGCTTTGTTGAAGGTCTCCTGGTAGCTACAGATGAATCATGTGTTCAGACCAGGTTGTCTGCCGGAGTTTGCAATGTGAATTTTGTGACACAGCTGGGCCTAGATTGCCTGTCCATCATGAGCTTTAAACACTACAACTTTCTTCCATTTTTCCATGTGAAATTCTTTGTTCCTGGAGCCACTTGGAATAGTTTTGTAGAGAGCAACACAGGAGGAACTCAAACCCAGGAACAGAATGTTCTGGATTGGAAAACAAAAGAATCTTACATGTTTTGCTCTTCTAAAATGGTAGTTTGTTTTTGTTTTTATGTGTTGGTCAGTTGGGTTTTTTTCTTCCTTCTGATATTCCTGGTACTTTCATTTCCTTTCATCCTTGTTTTTGAAAGTCATTAGGAGGATTGTAAACAAATTCCAGAGGGGGTGGGAAAAAAGAAGCAGAGGAAGGCAAGTATGTAAATTCATCTTGGGTGAAGTATTAACTGCCTCTCTTGTGGGTTTTTTAAAATTTAATTTAATTTTAATTTATTTTTATTACATTATATTATATTATTTATTTACTATTTATATATTTATTATTATGTATACACAATTATATGTTACTGTATAATATTATATATAATATATTATTATAGAATATTACATGATATTTATATATAAGTTATATATTATTTTATATTATTTAATTTATTATTGTATTTAATTTTTATTTTTTTATTTTTTACATTTTTGTTTATTTTTCATACGAATGAACCAAGACATTTCCTTGGAGACTGAATATGTTCATCATTTTAGTGAGATGAGGCATTGTATTTTACTTGTTTATCATTGCCTTATCTGCTAAAAGCAAATAGATAACATGTAATTGCAATAAAAGATCATAACATGGATAAGCAGAAGGGGTATAATGTTGTTTAAGTGTTTATGTTCATCTGTTTGTTTTAAATTATTACAAATGTGGGAGACTAATGCAGTTTGAGCCAAGTAGAGTTTTGAAGAGCTTTGTCATGATTTGCAGTGTTCTCTCTGCTCTCTCAGACCAGCACTGAGGGGAATTATTTGGTGGTTTTGTACCCAAAAGAAGGACTCAGCTTTCTTCCTTTTCTGCTTTTCCCCTTTCAAGACAGTCCCTCTTCCTGGGACCCCATCCTCCAGTTTGTGAAACCCTTTTTGAACATGGATAATTGGCTTTTTCTTCTGTCTTTCTGCTTTTTGGCGTTATATTCTGCCAGGAAAGTAGGATAAATGCAGGGTCCTGGGGTTTGCCTCTTTTGTTTGTCATTTTACATGGAATTACCCTAGGGAAAGCTCATAGGGGGGTTCCCATCTAGCTGCCAGTTTTGATTTGGTTTGATCATTACATGTACATGATTCAATTCCTAGTGACATCACAGTTCTCTGCAGCTCCAGTGAAGGCATTCCCCTTTTTTTAGTGTCTCAGTAGCTGGGGCTTCCATCAGAGCTTCCCCTAGGGCTTTAACTCTGGCTGTCTTGGAGTTAGACTTTAGGTTGTATTACACATTACCGGGTAATTAATCCTCAAGTTACCTGTGGAAGTCATTGCTGCAGAGTTCAGACAATGTCCCTACCCCATGTGGGCAACACCAGCTCCAGAGATAAGCTGGGCTGCTGCCTAAAGTTGAGTTTTTGTATTTATTTCTCTCCCTCATTGGAGGATCAGTGTAACATGAACCCTGTGCACTGACCATTTAAGACAGCTTGCCTTGGGAAGGTGAACTTCTGGTTAAGTAATGAATTTACTGTAGGAATGGCTCCTGAAAGTATCTGGGTTGCCTGGGCCATCTATCATAGTTATTTTTATGGCCATGTGTAAGATAAATGTCAGCATTTTTTGCCTTGATTCAAGGTAAAAAAAGTGCACCCAATTTCCTTGATGGCCACAATGGAAGGACACTGTTGTGTTTCTTTACTGGCTTTTCAGTGCTACAGGGGCTGGGGGAGAAGAGAGAGCAGATTATTCCTCTGTGATGCTGCAGATGTGACAAAACAAATATTTGTTAAATAAACCAAATACTGGATTTACGTGCACTCAGGGGTTCTTCATACACTTGGGGCTGGGCCTGTGCCAAGGTGGGCAAGTGTTACAGTGAAACTAGAGAAATCCCTTACTTTGTGCCCTTCTTCCCAGGGACTTTGTGAAAGGCATTTTCCTGGGAGGGAGTTGTGGTGGCTGATGTGAGTCAGGCCCCCAGCCAGCTGGCAGCCAGTCGTGTTTTAGAGGCTTGGCCTTTGTGAGATGAGGAGAGCAAAATGATCCATCTGCTCACCATTCCGTGGGTGTATTTTCATTCATAAGAAGGAAAACTGAAAATTGTGCTTATCCCAGGCTTTAGGCACCTTTTGGCAGTCACTCTAATAAGTCAGTTTAGAGTGATAATCAAATCCAACAGTTTTCATCACAGAATTTTCTAACTGCAAGAGCAGAAGTTAAATGAAATACCATTGTCTTTACACAGGGGAGGTACAGGAAAAGATACCTCATTTAACCTTTCATGTTTCCTAATTCCAGTTAATAAAAATACAAGCTTTTTAACAAACTCTGAATTTATGGAGATTGAAGGAGTTGAATTGTGGATGCCTCATTTAATGTCCTGGAGGAAGTCCCATTCCTACATACAAAGGAGTGATTGGTGCCACCTAGATGGACAGGCTTTGATGACAACATGCAAAGTGCATTTACATTTTTCAGCAAATGTTTAGGTCCTGTTAAGGGAGATACATTTCTTTTTTTCCCATGGAATTGACTGCTATGGACCTTGGTCCTCTATTTGCTTAAATCAGTTGAGTTTATCCCAAGTAACTTCCACTTTCCATCTGCTTCTCTCAGCTGAGCGTATTTGCTTGCAATTCTTAAAGATCATTCAAGGATGAGTATATGGATATTATTTTTCTGTTTGTAGCGTCTTTCTGCTGCTCTTTTCCTCCTCCAGGATCCTCAGCACTGAAGCTGTGCTATTTTTGGAAGAAAGTCTGTCAGGTGACACTAGATGTTTAAAGAGCATCCATGGCAATGTTCTGCTGTGGTCACTCTGACATGCAGGTCTCAGTGGATGCTGTGTCTGATGGGTACAGGCCTGTGCCCAGACAAATCTATAAACCTGTTAATATTGTCATCTAACTGTCAATGTTTCCTTTTTTTTGTTAATAGTATAAAATAACAAAAATAGATTATACGGACACCCTCCTCCAGTAAAGTCTAAAGCATATGTTTTTCCTCCTCCACACAGGAAAGGGATAGTTGCAAAAGCTCCATGGGAAATCTTGCAGGAGCCTGTGTGTGCTCAGCTTGATTTGCTGGTAAATAGACACTCTGAGACTGCAGTGCAGTCACTCCAGTTCCTTTGGGAGGCACAGGTGCTAAGGAGAAGTTGAGCACATAAACTGTTCTGCTGACAGCAGCTTTTATTCATCAGCAGCATTTCACAGGAGAGGAGGTGAAAATGCTTCCTGGTGCTGATATTTGGCATGGTCCCTCCACATGTATCATCTGTGTGATCTGAAACAGAAAATCCATCCCTTGAAAAATGACCTGCTATTTGCTTTGCAGGCTATGCCCACTGGAAGGGTCAGGTGTTGAATTCAGATGAGCTTCATGAACTTTACGAAGGACTTAAGCTGAACATGGTCAACCGGTACGATTATGTGCTCACAGGTAAGAAGAGCTTGTTCCCTGGAGTACCCAGGAGATAAAAATAGGGCTAAGGAAATGTAAAACATATCCCTCCTTGCTGCAAACCAAGCAATTAAAATGTCACCTGTATATTATAGTCTGAACTGTCTCAGGCTGTTTAATTTGGAACAGCCAGGAGGTTGTAACTGGGCAGGTAAATTGATCCCCTTGTACAATTTACAGACTTGTACAGGCCAGTCATGTACAGGCACACTTAATATTTTGGGAGTGCCTTTACTGGAACAATACATGAGGAATGTCAGAGTGTTATTTTGTTGGGTTTTGGTTTTGACTGTCATGTATCTTGATTTTTTTGGTTGTTACTCTGTAGGTCATCTGAGTGAATACAGTTCTGCAGTGTTTTCCTGTGTTTGCACTATATACTAAGTGTTGATAAATACAGGCAAAGAGAACTTCTTGTAGAATACTGCATAGAAAGGAGAGATTCTACAAGAAGTTTTTATTAAAAATTTCTTCTCACCCAATTCCTGCTTCTCAAAAGTAGGTTACTGATCAGATTTCACCTCAGTAAGAGCTGTGCATCTGGTTTGGATAACAGTATCAATTTCTTTCAGCAGTGAACAGGGACTTTCTGAAGGTAAGCAGAAATACATCACCAGATTTGATTATTTCATGACTTCTGCATATAGGAAAGCTTTTTATACACAGGGAAAACTGGAAACTTCAAGTGCATGGATTACAACTCCAAAGCTGTCCTTCTGGCTAAAAGGGTGTGGCATGTCCAGAGAGTTATTGTTAAGGTTTTTTTTCAAGGAATAGCTCCAAAATAAAGGAGACTGAATAGCAAATAGATTGAAGTAAGGTTAAGGAATTAATTTTGGCAAAAATGGGTTCTTTGTTATTGAGAAATAGCTAAACACCCTTTCTTTCTTGAAGGAACTCAGAGGACATTTCCAGGAAAAGCACACTGTCATATTCAGGAGATATTCGTTTGGAAAATTTGTAAATAATATTTGAGTATTCTTTTAGCTGAAATGTTCCTTTTTTATTTCACTTCCAACTCTTGGAAAAGACCTCTACTCCTTTCCAGTCACTGGCAAAATGGATGTAAGAGATTATAAAAGATTCCTTGAAAAAGGAAAATAGAAATCTTCAGCAAAAAGGAATTTTGGAGAAAAAGGGAATATTTATTAATAAAATCATTTTAAAATAGGATTTTTGTGTGTTGTTAAAGTCTGTTTTAATATCTGATTTGCTGCAGCCATTTTCAGTATGAACAAAAAAGAAGGCATGGGTAGAAAGACCAGTAATTTCTGAACTTCTAATAACACTTTTTGTGTTTGTCTTCAGCTGCACTGTGGCTGAACTTAAAATACAATTATTTTTTTTTCATTCAGGGCCGAAAGTCAGATTTTTTTCTTCAAACAGACATTCCCTATAGTGCACAACTACTTTGTACCTCAAACAACCTGGATATGATTATTTAAACACTGAAAAGCAATTTATCAGCAGGTGGGATTTGACTGTTAATTGTCTGATGGCTGTAGGGATCTCAGCTGAGATTAAAATTATTATATTTAAGCCATTTGTACAGAGTAACACTCCATGGACTTTTTGTGACTGTTAGTTATTTGTAGATCTTCTTGTATTTGTTTCATTTACAGTAAGACAGTTGAGGTAAGAGATAAATTGCAGTTCAGTGTAACTGTTTTAAACACCTCTGTCCATGATGTTAATCAAACCCAGTACTGTTTTCCAGCCAGTCTGCTGGTCATTTAAATCACAGGTCATTTAAAAAAAGAATCTTTGCTTGGATCTTTTGAGTGATTATCAGCATTTCATGGATAAAATCCAGCATTTTGGCAAAAAATCTTTTCCATTTCTCTGTAGCACCCAAGAACTGATCAATTTTTCAAGTTTAAAAATAATCTCCAAAATCTACTTTTTAAATGTACTTTAAAATATTTTATAGAGTGGACATTTCCAAGGACATTGAAAGATGCTACCTTGCTAAAAATAATAGAATTAAATCACAGAATCACAAAATATGATGAGTTGGAAGGGACCCACAAGTATTGAGTCCAGTTCCTGGCCCTGCACAGCACCATCCCCAAGAAATTAACTGCAATAAATTAAAGTCAAATTGACAATTCATAAATGTTGTAACTAAAGTTAATACATAAATATATAAATTAAGGAACATCTATAAAATTCAAGAACTAATGATTAAAGAGGAATATGATGCTAGCTAGCATTGTGATTGGGGCCTTGAAATACAGTAAAACTCATTTCCAGTTTATGTTACTACTAAGCCTGAAAAATAGGAACTTTATTGGTATTTTGGAAATTACTCTAAAATTATCAAGGTTAAATCTATATTTCATTAATGTGTTGGATTCTATCAGCACGAGCACTATAAATAAAAAATTGCTTCAAGACAGAGTATGAGAAAAGTATATGGAATTTAAAAAAATTCTCGTTTACTGCATGAAAGATAATATTGATCAAAATACTGGTTTTACTAAAAGGATTGTTTTTTTCCTTCTAGCCTGACCTTTGTTTATATATGTTCAAGCATTTTGAAGTTATATGAGCCTTTAATATACAACATTCTTAGTAAATGGATTTTTAAGGTCATACTTGTAGTTGTGCAAGCACTGCCTCAATTTGTATTCCAACCTATTATTCCCAAGTCAACTACTGAAATGCCTTTGTTCTAAAAATGCATTTATCCAAAGAATGGGAAGTGTGTAGCATTCCTATCCAAAACTAAAACCAGCAAAAATGTTAATGAAATTTGACTTCAAAGGTGTTTTGTTTTTTTTTTCCTGAAAGGGTATACAAGAGACACATCATTTCTTGCAATGGTGGTGGATATTGTCCAGGAGTTGAAGCAACAGAATTCTAACCTCGTGTATGGTAAGGATGTGCATTATAATCCTTTCTGCTTCCTCACTGAGTATGTTCATCATTTTCACATTTTAGGATGGAAACACTGTTCGGATGTTACACAACATTTCTGGTCTGTCTGGAGCCAGCTGGGCCTCCAGTGACGTTTCACTGCAGCTTTAGGTGTTGGGTTTTTCTCTCTCTCTTTGCTGCCTTTCAGTGTGTTTCTTGCATTATGCCATCCAAAGGAGAGTGTGCCTTGAGGACTGGTTGTCTGTATCCAGGAAAAGCTAAAAATCCCAGCCAGCTGCTGCTGGTTCAGAGGCTGTGTGCACTGACAGATGAAGCCTCTCCTTGATTGCCAAGTCAGGCAAAGCAGGACAGGCTTTCCCATGCTGCCCTGCCATGGTTTCATGTATCATCCCTGAACTTTGCCTCATAAGTTTCATGATTTACCTTGAATTCCAGGGCTTTTTTAGCTCTGGTGCTTTCTAATATTCCCTAGGACTATCCAGGGAGCAAGAGGCTCCAGCAGCTGTTGTCACTAATATGTCACATCAGGCTTCCACCTGTGAGAAAAGATTTCTTCTCTTCCTTTCCTTCCTTTCCTGAGTGTTTCAGCAATTTTGAACATAACCAGCATAGGCTTGAATTTAGCAAAGCTTTCAGAGTGGTAGGGCAAAGTCAGTGAGGATTTAGTGGGATAAAAAGCTAGGAATGATGTTTTGAGCTGTCATCTTCAGTAAACAGCGTGGCCATGAAACATCTAGAATGATTGGCAGGATTTGCAGGGTGTTGTACTGAGCAGTGATACCTGACTTAAAATTAACAAAACATAGGTCTTAATTAACAAAATACAGCAGAGAAATCTTGTCTGGGTTTTGTTGCTTTTTAGCCTTTATTTATACTATTGGATTGTTGAATTCTTCACAGCCTTGTGTGAAAGCCAAAGTCTCTTTTGGAGTATGAACAGAAAGAGACATCTCACCGTGTAGAACAGGAAGGAAATGGTCAGGTGGTGAGATCACAGCGAGGCTTCTAAGATCCTTTATGTTTAATAAATAGATTATAACGTAAAGAAAATATTTTTAAAATGTAAAACAAATTGCCCTCTTTTCACTCATAGAAACTTCCTGAAATACTGACATTGATTTGATATCTTTGGATTTGTGTTTCTTTTTGATCTTGCCTAAAGATCTTTTAATACAATGAACAATGTTCCTTTTTGAAGTGCAATGCTAGGCTGTTTCCATCCTCACTGAGGACACTTGGAATGTGTTGTTAATACTGCTGGTGATCCAGAACCTGTGCCAAACGTGTTAATATCATTACACCAAGTACTTTGGCATGAATTTTCTTATTGTTTCATTATAATACTTCCTTTATTTAATATACACACAGCATACACTGAAGTAAAAATAGGACTCTTTTCAGAGATGTTAGCTTCTCCCATGCTTCTCCCCTCCATACTACCATTCCAGACAACTTTTTAAGACACATGATCTACTCTTTCAAAATTGGCAGCCCCCAGATACAAATTCCAGTGTGCTACATGAGCTGTGAGAGTGTGTAAGCTTTGAGGTGCTCAGTGCTGTTGTGTAGCCACTACTACAAACTATAACCTAAAATTTTTCCCTCCCACCAGGGTCTTTATAACTGTACCCTATTTCTAAACCTAAACTATTTTACAGTGTGTGATCCAGTGATGGGTGACAAGTGGAATGGAGAAGGCTCTATGGTGAGTACTCTTCTGTTTGGATTCTTGGTGTAGTGAGGGTTTGTTATATAAAGATTTATTGTTTTTTAAACAACAAAACAAAGGTGCTTTACCTAAGCGTGGCTTTGGATCCCAGCATCAAGTAAGTTTCTACTTAGATTTCTTGGTTTTGAATGAGATTGGTATCTGGAAAGAATGACAGCTTCCCAGCCCTGGGATCATTTCTGGCTCTCTCCTGAGGCTACAGAGGCTATACAGACCCTGTCCACAGGGAAATATCCCCCTGCTCCCCATCCTTGTCTCTCTGGGGTTCTCTCATCATGTATCAAGAGCTGTGTTCTGGCTGGTAGCCTGGCTGCCATTGTCAGTCCTCCTGGGAATTGACCCAGCCCTGGAACCTAAATGAAGATGTCTTATTTCATGTGGGATCTGACAGCTGTTGGGCACTGGGCTGTGATGGGTGACAGAAAGGTCAGGGTGCCAATACCAGGCTGCACACTGACAAAAAACCATTCCTTTTTGATCAGAAATTTATGAGCAATATAGTTTGGTTTGGAGGTAAGGACATGAGTGAGCTGGGACTGTATTTCCTCATGCTGCTGTGTCACCTTGGTGAGAGAGAACTCAAAGGTTCTGCACCCAGGCATCATTTCCTTTTAATGCTGCCAGTTTAGGTTCATCTGCTTAAAAATGGTGCTTTGCATCACCTCCAGGGAAGAGACAGCTGTTGGTGACAGTGTCCCCAGCTAGACGATGCTCTGACCCTGCAGGTGCAGAGCTTGAAGCCATCAGGTCTCTCAGCAGCAGCAGCAGTGGTGGTTGAGGGAAGGAGAATTGCAGTCCCACATCTCAGACACTGCTGACAACTTCTGACACTCTGTTTTATCCCCAGTATGTGCCCAAGGATCTCCTGCCAGTCTACAGGGACAAAGTTGTACCTGTTGCAGATATAATCACTCCTAACCAGTTTGAAGCTGAGTAAGTGCTTATTTCCTTTACTAGCCAAATAAACTTGTGGAAAAAAGCAGGGAAGACTGATACCCATTAATTTTACTTGTCTCAATATAGTGCCTTATGTATGTCTGTGTTGGGTTTTGGGTTTTAGCTGTTAGTTTCAAGTGGTGTTTTTCATATGTTGAAACCAATAAAAAATCCAGGAGTTGTGTACAGAAAAGTCTCTTCTCATTTTCTCCAGTGTCTCATTTTCTTGATTATTTCTTGTTATCACCAGAGGCCTGTTTCTTGGACAGGTTAAAAATGTACCTTCCCCATCCTTCTCCATTACTATGAAAATTTTTATTATGTGCCAGAGTATCAGAGCTGAAATATCTTGGTTCAACCCCCACCAGACCCAAAATTCAGAAGTACCACCACAGCAGCATCTCATAGGAGCTAAGAATTTAAATGCCTCCTGCCTGTCCTGTCTACATAGTTGTGACTCTTTGGTCAGTTGATAATCTGAGGTGGTGCAGCACAGGCTGTCCCCTTAATGGGAGGGAGCAGCTACATGGGAGAGGAAGAGAAGCACTAGTGAGGGAATTTTTGTGATGCAGGGATCTCTGGAAGAGGCAGGGTAGGACTGGTGTGAGTGCACCTCAGCAGCGCTGTGTGTCTGTGCACGTAGAGGTCTGGTCCAGCAGACCGTGGAGCTACAGATGGGTTTGGCCTGTTTGTGCAGTCCCAGCTTTCCTCCTTTGAAAGGGCAGACAAACAGTCACTGCCTGGAGAACTCTTGCTATTTTAAAGCTTCTGTTTCATTCTCAGGTTACTCACAGGCAGGAAGATTTACACAGAAAAAGATGCACTGGAGGTAAGTAGGCAAAGGCTGGGACGTGACATCTCTGTCTGCATTCCTGCCTGCAGTGCTGCAGTTTGCCTTCAACCTTGGAGTCACTTTGGCCTCTGTCCTTTTCATGTGTTTATCATTAAAGCTTGTACGATTCAGGCAGAAAAGATTTCCTGTTCTAGTGTCAGAATTCCAAAGAAACTTCCCAGAAGAGCTCCACATTAAGGGATTGCAGTGGTAATGAGTACATCTCTCTGAACTTGCTTTCTGCAGTGAAGGAGTGGCAACAGCACACGTGGCAAATACCCAGACACTGCCAGCTCTGGGGATATTATTTGGCTGGGGTGGAAACCCCAGGAGACCCTGGGCATTAATAACCTGTTTGGGGCTCTGCTGTCCACATTCAGCAATGCTGGGTGTGAGGACAGCTTTGCCTCATTCTCCCAGATAAATCCACAGCATTGACAGCTGCTGTCATTGCCATATAGAGCTGATAGATGGCCTGCAAATATATTGCATCGAGGCGTAAAGATTTGTTCTTTCACACAAAGTGAAGAAAATAAAAAGCTGTAGGGCTTGGTGGTGAAGGACAAAATAGAAATACAGTTTTATTGATGTCTTGAGGAAGGTTGAGCTCTTTGTTTTGTTGGCTAGTCAAGTACTTTCATGATGGACTCCCTCCAGTTCAGTTTTGAACTTCAAAAGAACACAAAATCTTTAAACAAGCAGCAACTGCAGTGGCATCCTGGAGAGTAGCTGGGGGCCTGTCAGCCCAAATGTTTGTTGTTTTTTTGCTTCAGCAACGTCAAACAACACAAGTTGGTCACCATCACTTCACAGCAGGAAGCAGAGATCTCATCTCTGAATTTCCACTGCCTCCAGTTTTACATGACCCCACCATGCTGGGTGAGGGTGATGAGCTGTGCTTCATGGCAGTGACTGCAGCTCAACTCTTCTGTTCTCATCCTTCCCAGTGGAACCAGTCTTGAGAAGAACATAATCAGCTGAGCAGCCATTAGTTTTAAATTTGCATATTTCAGCTGCCAACATGAGTTGCATGTGCTAATCAGTTTTGCCAGTTAGTCTTCTGACTGATTCATGCCATAGCTCTGATTTGTGATGGGCTTTACAAAAAATCTCTCCCCAAGAGACAGAATTATGTTTAGAAATAGAAACATTTTTAAAGAAGTTGTTAGCAGGATAATTTATTTTAATCTGTCTTTCCAGCTGCATGTCATGTATGGGTCTGTGTAGTAATCCATGCTGGAATTTGTCTCCTTTAAACGTGGTAGGAATTCTGCATAGATTTCCATGATTTCATGCTGGCTTTCCTTTCCTTAGCAAGACCTGTGATGACAGTAGTGTCTTCTAGCATAAAATTAAGTATGATGTAATATTAACATAAAAAGGACTAAGTCCTACAGCTAGGAATAGTGGAGATTAGGATCCTGGTGAATTGTGACTGAGAAATGAAATTCAGTTTAGTATTACTGAACAGACTGATTGTGTCAGTGTATGCTGGTGGATTTATTGCTTCTTCAAAACCCAGCTGATGTCTGTGCAAAGAGGTTTGACAGCTGAAGAAACTTGGAGGCTTAGACATGAAAAAAACCCAAAGTATTAAAAAAATAGCAGAAATAAATCCTTATCATTCATCTGCTCATGAGTCATAGCTAGCCTAAGAAGGTTTTTAGTTAAACACTTCTGGGAGAATTAATATTTTATTCATGTTTTATACTAAACTCATTATTGAAGTGATTCTTTTTTCTGTGAAATCAAAATCAGTTCTGTCTGTAACAACCAATTGTGATGTCAGAAGTACAGTATTAATGAGTTTAAGTGAGGAACACAGAGTGGAAATACATCTGCAAAGGTATATAATTTACAGCTCTAGTTTGGAGGTTGAAACAGAATGAGAGAAGAAAATTGAGATAGACACACTTGTGCCTCTGATTTAGGTTTTTTAATTTTTGGTAACTATAAAAGTAGTAGCTAAATAAGATTTCATGACCTGGAATTATTGTCTTTCTAGTAAATGCTTCAAGATGCCAGCTCAGGTGCACATGTCTGTATGTTTAATCTCTTATTCTTTTGATAACATGTTTTGAAAACATGATGCAGGCAAAAATTCTGAGCACAGATGAAACAGTATTCTTTCCAAAAGAACATCCAAAGATAACACAAACAGAAGTGCTTGTATATTTTAACAAGTGTGTACGTTTAAATGTGGATGTTTTGATTCCCCTGTTTCAAAGTAATGCCCCCTAATTCAAGTGGATTGTTTGAATAGAGTCTCTTTCTCTTTACAAAAGATGCGAAAATAAGATGTTTGTTAAAAATCCTCAGTACTATGAATGGAAGTTTAATCAACACATATTGCAGTCAGTGATTCCTGCCTTTTTGCATGCTGAAAGGTAATGGATATGCTCCATGCCATGGGACCAGAGACTGTGGTGATAACAAGCTCAGACCTACAGGCACCTCTAGGAAACGACTACCTGATTGCTCTGGGAAGCCACAGAAAAAGTAAGTCAAGAGCTCCTTCCTTCTCTGTGCTCTCATTAAAGCTGTCTGTGCTTGCAGTTACTCCTTGAAGAAGCAGTTTCATCAGACCTATCTGTAGTGCATGGAAGGAGCAGATTCCTAAGAGAGCACCTTGTCCTGCAGTAATAGCAGGAGTGGTAAGACTGGGGCTGCTCCATGAGGGAAGACAAGAGCTGAGTGTGACCATAGCACAGGCAAGACTCTGTCCCCACCCACTGGGAACAGACCCACAGGACCTGAATATGGTGAGCAGGACAGGGGATTGGTGGCAGACAGGTCCCAGTGACAATCAGAGTTAGGGAGACAAGCCAGGTCTGAGATTAATCTGGAAAATTCAGTAAGTACATCAGGACAGCAGGGCTGTACACAGGAATAACTGCACCATATCTCAGGCAGGGATTCTTGTGCCCAGGCCTGAGCTTCGTACAGCTCCTGGGCAGAGGATGATGTCCTAGGCGAGGTTTATCAGGACTCTTACAGCCCCTGGTGGTGACCCTCGTAGTAAGGATGTAAAACAGGAGCTTGGCATGTTTGAATGCTTTCCTGAAGTCACACTGTCCTGTTAGCAGATTGTGCCTCCCTTGATAGGTTATCAAATATCCTTCTGCTTCTTTTCTGTATCCCCTTCTATACTGTCACCAGGATTCACTGTGTGTTCACTGTCACACAGTTTCCACCTGAGAAGGACACAGTTACGAGGGATGAAAAATGAAGGTGGTTCCTCCCTCCTCCCTCTTAAATGGAGCATGTACAGTACAGAAGTTGTAAATGCTATTCCAAACTGGCCAAGTTTCGGAAGGCTGTGCCTTTTAAAAGAGCTGGTACAAAGTTTACAATCATCCTTTATGTTCCAAGCAGCAAAGGAATTCAAATCTGATGATGACTTTTAAAAACATTTCTTTTTAAATTCTAGTGATTGCTATTGTATTAGTTGCTAGGTCTGTCACTTAACTGTGGTTTTGTGTTGTAGCTAAAGCAGATGGTACCAGGATAACACAAAGAATTCGAGTGGAGTCTCCTAAAGTGGATGCTGTCTTTGTTGGAACAGGAGACTTGTTTGCTGCTATGCTTCTGGCATGGACACACAAGCACCCAAACAATTTGAAGGTGGGGGAGAAGTTACTCATCTCTATGCAAGTTAGACCTTGTTTCTCTTGAGTTTTTTTTAAAACTTCTAATCTGTGACATTATTTAAATACTGTCTTCTGTTTTGGCTTTTTTTTCGCTCACCTCAGAGAAAAAGCCACAGTTTCCTTTTTGCCAAAAGGGACATCAAACAGTCATATTTCAGTTAGATTAATTTTTTGATTTTGCCAAATAAGATGTTGTACTTTCTAGAGAGACAGACTGTATGCATGTTTGTAATTAGATTTTTTTATCCTCACTTCATAATAAGTATTGAAAATAATTTCTCAAATCCATTTTTCTGTTTCTTTCCCTTAAGGACACAGAGTCCTTGATACACTTATGATTTCTAATACCTGTCTGGGGAGAATTAAGTGGAAAAAAAAAATTGCCCAAACTCTGCATTGCATAGTTATCATCATGTTTGTTTTGTCAGTCATGTTTTCCTCTAATAGCAGTGTTTTAAAAATAATTAAGTAATATTAAAGTAGGTAGCTGAAGTTTTACTGAACCCTGAATATGTTGTGTTGATGCAGGTGGCATGTGAAAAGACTGTGTCAGCCATGCAGCATGTTCTGCAAAGGACCATTAAGAGTGCAAAAGGTAAATTCATCCAGACCCGTGTTCTGTCTGGATTGCCATAGAAGAAATACTCAAGGGGCTTTTTTGGCTTTCCTGCCTGAAGCATCCCCTCACTGCAGAAGCAGGCAGAGAATTTACAGAATGGGAGCTTGGTAGTTTGTCTGCATGTTGCTGCTGTGTCCTCCCAGCCCATTGCTGACGAGAGCCGACTGCAGATGTCACTGTTTAGCTTGTGGTGGGTGACAATCGTGCTGACTGTGCCTGACTCAGCTCTGCAAGTCTGGCAGAACTTGAGGAGATGCTGAGTTTGGTGTGCCAAAGAGCTCCTGCTTCAGTGTAACTCACCCACTGTCTCTCTGCGTGCATGCTTAGCACTGAGAGGGGTTTATCAACAAAATAGTTTGTTTGCTGTGTTCACCCATGTGAGGAGCATTTTTTTTCGGCTTCTCTCCCCATGGAGTTCCCGTGTTTCAGTTCTTAATGAAATCTGTGGGTTCTCTGAGCATGTCTGTGTGACTTCCTAATTAACAGCAGAGCTGTGTTTCTTTCCTGAGAGAGGTGTGGAACAGTGGTGATAACAAATCACAGTGCTGATCTGGATTTTCCACCTTGGCAGCCTTTGGCAGGGAGCAGTAAGGGAGAATGGGGGAGGGAGGAAGGTGGAGAAAATAGTGGGGTAACACAACAATGTAACTTGTTTCTTTTTAAACTGCTGTTTTTAATGACATTCTGATGTCGTCTTTTTAGTGCAAGCTGGAGAAGGAAACAAACCAAACTCAGCCCAGCTGGAACTGAGAATGGTCCAAAGCAAAAAGGACATAGAAAACCCAGAGATCATAGTGAAAGCCACCGTGTTATAAAGGCTCCACGTCTCCAATAACGCACAATGTATCGATGTCCTCATTTCTTTCCTGTAAATTGTAATATTTGCCTTAGATCTGTGACAGAAACCTGACTTTCATGAAATAGTGCCCAGCATAGGCAGATATCCACTCTCAAACATATGTGCTGGCCTTGCTCAGTTTTAAAAACAGAACAGTTAGTGTGCATTGAAGCATATTCCCAGGTATCCCAATGTCTGTCAGATTCACTTAGTCTGTGTGATTACCCAGGGCAAGAGAGCAATGTTCCTGCCTTGCCAAAGACTGTAGATGTGAATTTGCTAGTGGAATGCTTGACTGACTGGAAAATGTATTTCAAGATGGCATCTAGTGCCAATGGAGCTGGCTCCATGCTCCCTTTTCCTGGAGGTACCTGGTTACCTACTCTGGTATTCAGTATCTCAGCTGCTATGAAACTAAGCAGGGTTAAAGCTACACACACAGTTCTGGTTGTGTGTAGGAGTACTTTGAAGATGTTTGGCATGTTCAGTACTCTGAAGTGACCTTGAGATGTCATTCATGTTGCTGATCTCTGCTCCTGTTTCTTGTCCATGAACAGCTGCACAGTTTCAGTTGTCACAGGTTCCTGCTGCTTATTTCTCATGTCTGTGGGTGCCCACGTGATTTTCCTCCAAAAACTGCTCCAGAAACATCTTGATTAACAAGATCATGCCTTTATTCAGTAGCACTGGTTAGGAGTGTGGCCTCTGAGGCCAGGTTTGATTCTCTTTTAACTAAGGGCAAAAGAGGAAGCAGCTCTTACTGTGGAAGTTGGCTGCTTTGGTTTGTTCATTGTGGGTGGATTTACTTACAAACTACATGGGCACTTGACTTACAATATTGAGCACTGCTGGCAGCCTTAGCAATGAAGCAATGTGACAAAAGTAGCACTTTTGGTTTAGTAAGATCTGGTCTGGATTGGCTTACCAATTGCAATGAAATGGAATAATTAACTTGTTCATAATGTCTCTGCAAGCAACACCAATTAGAGATTACAGAAATACATTATTATTAATGTTATTCTTAATTCACAATTCTGCTTGATAAGGCTTCAAAATGGGATTTTTAATCATTTCAGTGTCCTATGGATCACAGCCACATACTAAAGCAACAGGGCAGGTCTGCTGACAGGTATTGGCCACTCACACTTCCATAGGACTTCTGTCTGGGATCCATGTTCTTGCTTGTCCCAAGATAAAATCTAGTGTGAAGTTAAATCCAGATCAAATTGATGAGCTTTACTTGTCTCAGACTGCATAAGGGGATGGAAATTGCATTTCTGATTGATTTCCTCTCCTGCATTTGGCATCAAAAGTGAAAAAAAAATCATGTTGCTTGACAATTTAAGGGAAAAAATTAGCAGGAATTTATCTACAAAATGTGACTCTACTGCCACAGTTTTTATTAACCAGTGTCATGAAATAGCTTTCTAGCAATAATATTTTTGGTGTTGTGAACAGCTGCTAAAATTAGCAGTCAGAGATATGAGCTCATGGCTGATACCCAGCCTGTAAAAGGATGTGAACTACCTTGACAGTGTGTACAAGTGGGTGATGGGAAGCAGTGCAGAGGGAACCTCCTCTCAGTGGTGCCTAAGAAGTGATAAATAGACAGTAGCACAAAATTACAGGAAAATCCATTTAAACATTAGAAAAATAAAATTCACTGTGAAGATGATCAGACACTGGCACAGGTTGCACGGAGAGGGTGTGCAGTCTCCATTCTTGAAGATTCTCAGATGCTGACTGAACATGGCCCTGAGTAAACCTGCTGTACTTGGCCCTGTTTGCTCAGAGGTTGGGCCAGAGGATCTCCAGAGGTCCCTTCCAACCTCAGCCATTCCCTGATTCTCTGAGCACATTGAACTGCCTTTCTTTGCAGCACTGGATTTTAAAATTTTGTTCTCCCTGCAACACCAACTTCCAGATGGGCTGGAAAAGACTCATACTGATATTCCCCCCTTTTTTAGATAAGTTGCTGTTTGCTTGGGTGGCTGTGCCAGGAGGACAATTAACCTCTTTTGAGAAACTTGCTTTCAGGAAAGATATTTAAATACTATAGCTGGTGATATGTTTCAACAGTTGAACACAAAAAGGATTTTAATTGTTTCTGACATTGATTAACCAAGTGCTGCATGCCATATTCCAAACATGAGTTTATTAATCTTTTAAAATTAGAGTATTTCATGTGGAAGTGCATAATCCCTGCCATCCTCTTAGGAAGAAGGGATCAACTTCCTGAACTTCCCTGCCTGTACAGACAGTGGTCAATGCCCTTTTAGTAAGTGTGAGACAGCACAATTTTATTTTGCCATTAGAATAAAGAGACTTCACAAGAGGATAAGGAGAAAGGCAAGGGCTGTTTTCTCTGAAATAAAGAAGCTTGGAGCTACCTTGCAAACAAGGTTTTAATTGTAAACCATGATGAGCCATGATCTTGGCATAAAAGACAAAGTGATATGTTTGTTGGAGCAGTTTATACCTGTCAGGTGTAATCTTTCCCCACTTCCTCAGAGAATGGATCCATTCAATAATTCACACCTTCCTTAGAATCTGTGACACACCCATGTTTAAAAAAAAAGAAAAGAATATTCATACTAATGTGCTCAATTTGCAAAAGTTCCTATTTCACAGTAGTTGGATCCTGTAGCAATGGGATGCTGGCTTCATCTGCTTGAGTCCCTGAGGGTTATTCATGTGATGCCTGTTTTAAACTCCCACTGACCTGATCTAAATTAGGTCAGGTTTATGTCTTCAGTGAAGAATTGGGCTTAACATCTCTTGCCAGGAACAAACATCAGAAATTATCTGTAAATACATTCTGTAGCTAACATTTTGTAGCCACAGCAGTCTAACAGGTATTTTTGAATGTCAAGGTACACATTTTTTATTTGTTTAGAGTTACACAAAGCTTATGTGCAGAACAAAATTCAAAGACTCAGCACAGTCCTGTCTAATATTTAATTCCCTCCTCTCCTCCTGCATATAATACCTGTATCTTTTTCTGAGTTCCTGCTGTCTGATACAGCTGGAAAGTGTCTCAGTCAGACAGTGCCCACTATTTATTCAGGGCCTTGGAGGAGACTGACCAGCGTTGTCTGGTGTTTGCAGCGTTGTTGACTTGCAAACCTTTAGTTAAACATAAAAGGTCAATCTAAACTAGCTTAGGTACTAATTGATGAGAGGAGAACAAGCACTTTAGCCCAGAGAGTGGAGTCTGTAACATGGATAATCTTCCCTGGCCATCCTGAGAGCAGGAAAGGTGTAACCCAGCAGTCCAGCACTGCCAGCTGGGGACTGGTGGTTTCACTGCCACATGTGTGAGGCCAGAGTGAGGCTGCTCCTGCTGCAGCACATGGAGGCATGGGAGAGGTGAATGCTTTGTGCTTGTGTCCACTCAACTTCCCTAACAATCTTTCTCCATTCTGGAATTAATTTGTGTTGGATCCCCTTTTCCTGGAGTGATTTGCAGTGCCTGTGGCCACTGCTCAAGTCCACTCGTTTTTGGAGCCACCTGTTCAGGAGAGACCAAAAGTTGTTTACAGACTGTCTACTCTGGGCCTGGATTAGTCTCTACATGCTGAGAATTGAGACGTGCATAAAGACATTGTGCTAAAAGCAGTGCTATTCACACTTGATAGAAACACTTCAGAAACCTGCAGTATGAATTATTAATGTTTGTGTGCTGATTTTTATCTCAAGTGGGGAGAATAATCCATGTGTTATACAAAAGAATCAGAGGACCAAGGTTTCCAGCTACTCATACTGCCTTTTGAGTATCTTAACTGTGTCTTGATTGGATGGTGTTAATTTTTTTGTCTGAGACTGTTACGGTGATTGTATTGATTAATTTTATTTTAAAATATGTGGCAAGGAAGATTGTAATAAAAGCATCTACATTTATTATACTGTGCACACACAAATTGTTAGATCCTATTTTTAAATATGTTAATCATTTCAGAATTAAACAGCACAAGAATGGTTTGATAGTCTTGCTGAATAAAGTGGATGTAATTAAATGTTTCCTTAGTTATGTCCTAGGATAGAGAAAGGGTAGTTAATGGCAGAGAGCACATTTATGCCCTGTAATCATCTTACTGTAAGATATGGATGTGGAAGTGAGTAATGTGCTTGTTGTCTTAATTTTTATTTTTCTTAAAGATGGTTCATAGGAAGAAAATTGCTGGCATTCTTCACCACTCCCTTGCATTCCTCTTACATTTTATATGGACCTCATTGTGTTGTGCTCTTTTTTCCTGCAAATAAGGTGAGAAGAGGGTCTTGGAATAAGAACCATAACTCATTTTGAGATCTGTTTCTTGTCCAGCATTTAACAGCACTCCACTGAGTTTTTACCTTCGCTGTGTAGGGTAGAGCACACAGGGCTGTAGAGTGGGAAACAAATGTTTCTCGTGTGGGAACAAGAGCTTCTGCCAGCACTCAGCAGTGTCCCTGCCAGGGTGGTGGTTTGCAGCAGGAGGAGAGCAGGGATCCAGGTTAAGGAGAGCAGAAAGTGCTGTGTCATTACACTTGTGTCCTGGACAGGTTTGGTTTTATACTAAAGAAGCTCTCCGCCTTACTGGTTTATTGACTGCAGTCATCCCACTCCTGTTTAGAATCCCAGGATTAGTTACCCAGAGAGATGTTCTTGCTGAAAGCACATGTTCTTCATGTTCCTGGTAAGTGAGAGCCTGCTGAGCAGTTCTGTAGCTTTCTAAAACCTGTCCATTAAAGACATTTGTCTGCCGTGGAAACCAAGCTTCGAGATGTTCAATGACAGCCCAAAAATAGCCCTTTCAAATAAATGAAAACTCTTGAAAGTGCATTATTGTCAATAAATGAGGAAACCAGTGAGTTTATGCATGCAGGAGCAGATTTCAGGTAAATCCCCGAGGTTCTGTCAGCTACTGGAGGAGTGTGCCCTGAGCAAAGGGCTGCTGCTGTTAGGGCACTGCTTCAGGAGAGACCCATTTCCAGAAGGGAGGAATGTGGTGTGGCATTCAACAGCCAAGGAAAACTCCCATCTGCTTCACCAGGAAACCAGTGCCAGGTGACAGCCCCAGTGCCACCAGTTTGGTGCTTTTACTGCTGTGGCAGCAGAGGACCTCGAGGCAGATGGGATGCTCCTAAATGTGCATTCCTGACTCAGTGCCTCCACAGTGCAAATAATGGTAATAAATCCCCCAACATGCAGAGCAGTGAATAAGGCAGCACATTATTCAGAGAGAGAAAACCAGCAATATGAGAAGGCTGTGCCATATGTTACCACTGGAATCACACTTACCTATTGCCCTCGTGGTTGCATTGCTGTTTAGAAAAAAAATCTGTGTGTAGAAGAGTGTAATTTACGTACTCTGTGCGTGTGTGTGTGTGTGTATGTATGTTGAAGCTTTATTTGCAATGTGGTAGGGGTGGGAAACAGAATTTGGGGGGCTGGCTGAGTAGGCCTTCAGGATGTGAGCAGAAGGTCTTAAAGAAATATATTTTTATAGATTGTGCTGAAGCTTTGGGTCCCAGCCACACATAGCCTTTTCTTCCAGAGAAGTAAAATGGTTTGGAAAGAGAGTCAGGTGGCTGTAATATAGTAGGGATAGTACAACCCCACCAGCCCTGGACAAACTGAATAACTTAATAAAAGATGCCTTTTTAAGTAATATTTTTTTAGTGCTGAATTGTTAAACAAAGAAATATTTATGAGCAAACTTTCTATGTACTTAAAGTTTGTGTGGTGCTTTGTACTGACTAGGTGGACCTGTTATCTGTTTACACATCTTAAATGATTGTCCTTGAGGCATGTGTAGTAATTCAACGACTTCTGTGCCAGAAAAACAATGAAGTTCTGTGTAATAGCAAATTATTTAATTTCTGATGAAACTGTAGGCTTTCTAGTGTTTGTGTATTTTTCTGGTTGGCCATTACAAGTTGTATCCTTCCTGCAGTAAGGCTTGTACGCTTGATTGTAGAGAGAGGCAATAGGATGGTAGATAACCATTGTTTAAAAAGAAAACCCTAAATATTGCTACCTTATCCATTTTAAAATCAGGTAAGCTTTGCATCATAAGCCTGAAATTTTGCATTGGAAAGAAGTTTTGAATACATCTAGGTTAGATTAAAAATTTGGGATGGGTTTGTTTATTTAACTAAATAAGACAGGGAGGTCTTAAAAGTGCTTAATAGTGACATATAGATGGACAAGCCAAAAGATGGAACAGAAATGGCTTGTTCCCATTGTATGGAGCTGACCAAGCTAATTCATAGCTTGTGCTAACCCTGTGCACAGGCAGGTGAATAGTCAAATGGGGAAAGTAAAGATTTTTTTTTTCCTTGTGTTTTGTCAGCTGTAATAGAATGAAGAATTTTAGTTGTTTGTTCTGAATTCAAATTCATAAATACTTTCCAGGAGAGCTGAGTTATTAATAAAATCCCATTCAGTCAAAAGGCAAAGCTGCTCACAAGGTTCAAAACCAGAGCAGGATTTTTTTCATCTTGCTAAACACACTGAGTCTGTTTCTTACGGCTGGGAGACCAGGGCAAAAGCACAACTGGCCACATACTGTCCAGATTAATTTTTTTTGGCTGAACTTCAGGGTCTCTGTAAAAAGCACAAGGGTCTGCATCATAAAAGAGTTTTTGGAGCATTATCCTATGATAAATGTCATTACCTACCAGAGCAGTTGGTGATTTGGCAAAACTGAGGGTCACTTGTCACGTCCCTTTTAATTAACGTGGCAGCATCCTCACCACTCTTGTGAATAAATCACCACAGCAAAAAGTAGAGGAGAATTTATCATGAGTTTTTCTCCAGAGAGTTCCTGATTTCTGGATGTGTTAAAAAAGAAGCCCTTCTGCTTTGCTAAGTTAGCAGGAGAAATGTCACCAAGACAAATAATGAATTGCTGAGGAGGGAGGCTGTGGCAGGGAGAAGCGGTGCTGGGGAAATGTTGTGCCTGGCTTTTCCTCCCCTGGGAATCTGTGGGTGCAGCATCCTCGTGGTGGTGGCAGAGTTTTGCCTGCATCCTCCCGTGGGGGAAATGTGGAGGAGTTACTCTGAGCAAGTGGGGAGCTGTTGGGTTTGTTGGGCAGTGCTGGACCGAGGCTGTGGTTCAGCACAACTCTGTGCACCCAAAAGCTCCTGGTGTACAGCCCCCTGTTTCCCTGGCCACAGCGTAATAATTCCCTTAGATTTCTTCTGCAGGCCATGGAGAACCAAGAGACTCTGGAAGTGCGTTATTCAGATGATTCAGGCTTGGCTTCTGTGCTTTTGAAAAGAAAGGTGGAGAATTATCAGCTGCTGTCGTAGATGTAACTCGTCCATCTCAACTACACCATAAAACTGCACCCTAACCTTCCTCTCCCATCATCTCTGCTGTCCCTGATATGCCTGTCCCCATAACAAGGGACATGAAGGAGCTAAAATCAATGGGGAATTCATCCAGTCAAACCCCTTGAAGTTTTAATTTTCTTTAGTTCCCTTAACCTCCTCATCCTGGGAACAGATAAGTGCCCGTGCTGCTCCTAGAGAGGGTCTGGGACAATGCAGCTGCTGAAAATGAGGGAGAGTGGAGTTGCCTCTCCCCCTGGCAGCGAGGTGCTGGGTGAGCAGGACCTAATTGCAGAGATGCATGGTGAGTGGTAAAGAAAAGAAATTTTTTTGAGTGAAGTACTTGAAGAGCTGGCGATTCAGCAGAGTTTGGTGTTCTCAATCCATCCGTGTTGCAAAAATATTATAATACTAAAAAATTTGGTGTGGCTGTTCTTCGTGATCTTAGTGATACTTGTGTCTAGCAGAGTAGAAAATAGCATTGAATAAATCAGTGCTCTAAATAGGGAATATAATAGGGAGATCCAGGTGGAGAAAATGTCAAGTTTGTTTTCACAGCACTTGAATGGTGTCAGAGTTGTCCAGGTCATGACCTTTTCTTCCCACCAGCTTTAAGCAAGGAAAAAAATCACTAAATCAATCAATAAATAAGGGCAGTTACCTGGGAATTTATGTGGCATTAGTATTAATTTTCATCGACAGATTGATAAGAGGTCTCTAGTTCACAAGGGGTTTTCAGAGGTGTGATAGAGCCTGTCCCAGCTGGCTTAGAGCACAGTCCTTGGGACACAGCTGTGACAGATGGCACTGGGATGTCACCTGTCCTGCATTTGGTACAGCTCCTGTGTTCAGTGCCTGAGAGGTGCTGGATGTGAACACATGCCTTGGTGGGGAGGAAACTTGGGCTTGTTGCTGGAGCTGCAGTGATGGGAGGAAACTGGAGAATTCAGCACCATCCAATGATCCTGCCATTTGCTGTCAGTGTTTGTTAGTGTGCTGCATCTCCTTTCAGTGTTGTTTCCTTTCTGGGAGTTTGGCAGCCCATACACTGCTTTAACATGCTTTTATCTGGCTGAATGTGAAAAATGAATCAAAATTGTAAAAAGTAGAGGGGAGGGATAGCTATGAATTTGCCTAGGACCTATGTGAGTAGAGAAACTGTAAGATTTGTCTCTAAGCCAGAAATAATTCAGTATTGACCAAATGAGTGCCATGTCTTCAACAGGCAGTAGCACCTGGAAGAGGCCAATATTTAGGGTTTTTGCCCAAAGCACATTTAGCCCTGCTCTACTGTTTAGTGAAAATGCCCAGTGCAGATGCCACCAGAGCCTCATCTTGTGGAGTAATGCTGTAATAAAGAATGTGGTTTTCTTGTGCAAGTCTTGACCTCTTCTTATGAAAATAACACACAACTCAGTATTTTCATGGTGTATAAGTGAAATGTAATTTTTTTTTTCAATAAAATACATCTCCTTTCCTAAGCATGGGTCTCTGGTTTTTTCCCTTGGTGATGTTTCTATTTTAACTCTTAATGGAGCTTTGGTTTTTTGTGTCTTCTCCCTACATATGTGAACCACAGCTCTGTGCTCTTTCTGTGCAGCCTGACCTTGCTTCCAGAGTTCACATAATTTCTTTTTCTTCTTGAGCTCCACGAGGAGCTCCCTGCTCAGCCAAACTGGCCAAGCTCCACGTGCTTCA